GATGCGTGGCAATAACTCTGCCTTTGTTTCCATTTGAATGTCATTTTAGAAATGTTTTTCCTGTTCCATTTTATATGACTTTTAAGGTGACAATTTCCCTCAATTCCAGCACGATTTTGCGGGATCCCTGTTACAGGGACGGGACGAAAAAAATTATTCTTTCTCGTGTGGGACAGAGATGGAGAGCATTTTTTTCTCGTAAAATTTTATAGGGAATTTTCCCCACTTCGTGGGGTCTGTGGAGATCTCTATCCCGCAAAAATTAAAACAAATAGAAATTAATTTTATTTTAAAGTTAATTCATCTTTCAAACTCAAATCCAAATCTAAATCCAAATCTAAATCCAAATTCAAATTCAAATCCAAACCCAAACGCAAACTCAAACTCAAATTCAAGTTCAAACTTAATTCAATTAAAATTAAACTTAACCCAATTTTACTTAACCCAACCCAACCCATTCCATAAAAATTAACTCAATTCATTCCCCTACTTACATTTAACCTTAACCCTAACTCATTTCTCAATTTTCATTTTCACCTTTCCCTCCATTGTTGGTTTAATTTTTGCTTATATTTTAGTTTAGCTTGGATTAATCTCTATTTATATTTGGAACAAATTTGTTAATTGTTGGTTTAGTTATTTATGTTGAATTGATTTTTATTTATATTTAGACAATTTATATTTAATTTTATATTTAAAAATTTTAGTTAATTGTATTTGAATTTTTAAAATTTTATTTATTATAATTAAATATTAATTAATTATATGTAAAAGACAAAAAAATTTATAATTTAATGTTAATTGGTGGAGAATGAGGATCCTCATTCCTCGTGAAGAACAGGAACGGGGAGTAAAATCTGTCTCTCATCAAAAATTCCCGCAGGGATTCCTATCCCCATCATTCGCGGAAACGAATACGGAGAGGGACTCCCTAATCTCGCAAAACCCCGTTGATATCCCTAATGACTTTTTCGTATATAAATAAATAATCAATTGTATTATTTTAAATTATACCCTCCTCACTTATTAAATGACTACAACAGTTATCTAATATCGTAAAGAAGAATTGGTCACT